GCTATAGGGCGCGTGCGCTCGCCAGACAGAGAGAGACATAGAGACAGAAAGCGAGAAATCACCCCCCAGAGGGGTTGGTCACGCCGCAATCCCTTCTCCTCCATTCTCCTCTCGGGATCTTGGGCACGCACGCACACGCGCCTGGCGTGAGTTTTAAGCCACCGGGTCCGGGACGCGAACCGCAGTTGACTATGTGGGAGTCCAGCGACATAGCCATTACGCTAACTGCTGGTTCCCATGACCTAATATTTTTTTTTTTCTGTCTACTCTTCACTGCTAGAGCAGTACCCCACACCTTTTGTTCTTCCCCTGCCCTACAGAGCCTAGCATTCACGGCAGGCACGTACCCGATTCTGTCCATTTTTTTTCCTTTTAAAGATAGGGTCTTACTCCTCTTGCATCACCCTCTTAGCTGGGCCCACAGGCACGCACCCTGGTCTTTCTTAGACAGGGTCTGCTATGTTGCCCAGGCTAGCTTTTAACTTGTGGTCCTCTTGCCTCAGCCTTCCCGAGTCACTAGAATTATAGGCATGTACCACTGCATTCAGCCTTTAGGTTGGACTGGGAATTGAACCCAGGCCTCTCTTGGTGTCTCAGGTCATGAAGAAAACTATGGATCTTTCTATTGGCCCTTCTCTCCCTTAAAAATGAAGATTCTAAGCCCATCTACCATTAATCATGGCAACAATTTGGTAGGTATTTTGCAAGTATGTGCGTGGGGATGGGTGAGGAGGTTAGGAGTAAATAAATGAAGGTAATATGATACAAGCTACATCTAACCACAACCCGCATAGAAATGAAGATGAGGGGCTAGCACGTGGTGTGGTGGTTAAGGTGCTGGACTCCCACATGGTTGACCACAGTTTGAGTCCCGGACCTGGTGGCTTGCTTTCTCACTTTACCTTTCTCTCTGTCTCTTTCTGGTCAAAATTTTAAAAATAATAATAATAACAAATAAAAAATAACTAAATAAATAATTCTTATTAAAAAAATGAAGATGAAATGAAAATAGGATATGCAGGACCAGCAGATGGCATAATGATTACGTCACTGGACTCCCACATAATAGACCAAAGTTTGAGTCCTGGACCTAGTGCTTTCAAACGCATACTATGCACATGTGCATGTGTGCCCAAAATCCCAAAGGAAAATGGAGGAAAAGGAATTGCAGTGTGGCCATCCCCCTGGGGGGGTAATTTCTTACTTTCTGTCTCTCTGGCAAGCGCACATGACCCTATCACAAAAATCTCTCTCTTAGAAAAAAGAAAGAAAACAGGAGTTGATAGAGCCTCAATTTCTTTCTCACAAAGTGAGGAAAAGAACGGGCAGACCGCAGCTCCAGAAATGGGGATTAAGAACAATGGTTATGGGGTTAAGATCTCATCCCTGTGGATTGTTTTGAGAATTAAATGAGATGGTAGATATGGAGGCACTAGGAGTCACAGAGCTGCAGCTGTGTAAGTGGGCACTAGTTGTTTCTTCTACCAGACACCCACTCTGTCTTCTCAGGGAAGGCATCTTGATTTGTCCTCAGGAAATAACCCTCCCCTGTTCTCTCCATCTGGAAGTTTGGGAAGACAAGGCAGAGATTCCACTTCTTGCTCTGTACCTGGCCAATTTGTATATTACAACCCCTAGGCCACAGTGATTGGCTCAGTAATGGATGTGTGACCTAAGCTGAACCAATAAGACTCAATTCTGAGGCTTTCGCTGGAACCACCAGGACAAAAAGCCCTTTCTAGGCTGGGAAGATAACTGGCCCATGTATGAGGCCAAGGAAGAAGGAAGAAGAAGGGGAAATCTGGAAAATATGCTGCTTTGATGTTGGTCTGGCTCCAGTTGTACACCTGCAACCCCACCATTGTGTTTTTCTCCCTCTTTCAATAAAGTTTCGAGTTAAATTCCAGCTTTAGGTTACACTTCTGAACCTAAGAGTCCAAAGCAATACAGGAATAATTTCAGTTACAGTCTCAAAGGTTGTACATTGAACATCCTGACCCTTGGTAAGTTAAGAATCATGCTTCCAACACTCTAGAAAGTTCTTTCTGGCTGCAGAACAATAGTGCCTGCATCCCTCCTCCAAAAGAGAAAGCTCACCCCACCCCTCTCTGAGGGAGGATCTGGGACTGCTCTTACCTCATCAGCCAGGAGAAAGAGCTTCTCTTCCCAAGCAAAGTGAATCACATCTTCTATGCACTTTCTGCTTTGTACCTGGCCTATAAAATCCCCAAGAAAACCAAAATGTAGGTTGCAATGCTGTTGAAATTGTCCCCAGGTTAGCATTCCAAGTGGGAATCACTTGGGTGTCCTGTGTTCTCTCAACACCCCAAGAGACCACCCTCCCTAGTTACTTGTACATAAACGGGATAGTTGACCTCCAGGGACACCCGTCTGTCTGACTCACATTAGCCAGGTATGTGAGCAGTATTGCACACTCCATGTTCTTGTTATTCTTACAAGATCTGTGTATGTGTGTGTAGTATGTTTGTCTGTCTGTGCTGTATGGAACTGTCATAAAGAGCAGGAGTTAAATCTACCAGCTCAGTTCCCTCCCTTACTGTGCACCAGCAGCGAACAATGGAGAGCAGTGTGCTGGCTGATGCAGTAACTGGGAGAGAATGATCACACCTTCTTCCCAGGGAGGCACGCACAGGCTCCATGAGTCAGGAGCAAGGTCTCCTCAAAGCCAGCACCCAGCAGGTGCTCAAGAAATGTTTGCAGAAAAAAAATGCAACATGAATGAGCTTGGGCACCTGCTTTGGTGTCTCCTGCCAGCTGCTACCAGGGAGCTGGGCATCGCTAAGGACAATGGCGATGAGCAAACACAGTTTTCTTTGGCTCAGGCTCCCCCTTCAGGACTTGACTCGACACTAATGGGAAAACACTCACCACCTATTCTAAAGAAATGAGCCAAACAACAAGATAGTAACCCACAGGAAATACCATGGCTACAAGCAGGGAAAGGAACAAATGCAATAACATGGAAATGGGTCCTTTCCCCATTTCCTGAGACCTACTTTGACTGTTGTACTGAGAATGGCTGACAAGCTCACAAGATCCTCTGGGAAAGCACCGCTGCTATCAGGCTTGTTGATATCCTTTTTTTTTAAAGGCCATGTTTCTTTATTATCTGCATTACACATACATACATATCTAGGTGCAATGCAGTATGTAGAATATGTTACCTTTTGGTTAAAAATAAAGATATCTATATTCTTGTCTACATCAGAATATAAAAGTGTCTGACAAAAATAGATATAAATGTATCTTGTAAAGAGGAAGGTATGATTCCGTTAGAATATTCCACCTTGAACAAGGGATGAACTTTTCTCCTGCCAAGTAAGTACCAGCTGGGCTTTATATGAAGCAAGCTGAAAGTTCTAGGATCCTGAGGGGTGGGGAAAAGGGCAGCCGGCCCTGGTTTCCACAGGAACAAGCAGCTGTTCTCACAGAGAGGGTCTGGTTACCTAGGGGGCAGACCTGCCTACAGATCCTCCTAGTCTTGCCCTCTGATGTCAGAGATCAAACTGTATCCTGTTAGAATGCAGGCATAGATCTGAGCACCAGAAAACGTAAAACCATGTTCACTAAATGCTAAGAACACACAGAGAAGTGGAGCAAGGATCAGAGCCTCAAAAATCTTTGACCCCATGGACCAAACACTGATGTATTTGGCCCCAGTATAAACAGACACTGATGTATACCACACGAACTGGAGAATAAGGACAGAGCTTATTTCCCTCCAGGGCCTGGGACACAGCAGTCACTCAGAGCACACCTGCTGAGCCCATGAAGGGAAAAATGCATGAATAGGGGCACAGGAGAACAGAAAGCCATACATGGTTTTAGAAGGGCCAGGGCACAGCTGTGCCCAGCTGGGGAAGACATGAGACCTGGCTTGGAAAGGTCTGGAAAGGGGTCTCCATGTGACTCTCACCCAAGGCTAGGCCAAAGATGTTTCTCAAAACTGATGGGAACACGTGTTGTTTGGGCCTGCTGGGCATCCTTCTCCTCTTTCCATCACAGATCCTGACTGCCCTATGGGGAACTCCAGTGGGGGGCATGGGACAGAGTCTCAGTGATCTGACTGGTTGATGGGAAGGTGTCCCAACTTGGCCTGGGACTTCTGGTGAAACTACGGCCTAGGTTTTCCTCCAGGGTTGCTCAGCTGATGGGCAATGGCTGGAGCTGCTAAAGGCCACTCTAAGGACACGTCCTTCCTGAGAAGGAATCAGCTCAGAGCAGAGCTGAGAAATGGACTGAGGTGCTTTTGACAAGGACACTGATTCAGGGGTACTTCTTTAGCCCTGGATTTGGTAGTTCTACAGTTCAATCCCTTCGATCTTGAGTTGAGTTTCTGTTGTAAAACCAAAAGAACTCTGGCTTAATATCTAAGTCTATTAAGACCCCTTTAGCCACAGTTACTCACAGTGTGTGGCTTAGACATGACACAGGTCGGGGCGTGGTGGCACCCACCCTATGACATGATGCAGGTCATCGATGGCCATCCATCATTCCTCAACTAACAGCTGATTGATTTTCACACATTAAGACCCTAGAGAACAAAATCAGATTCTGCCCACTCAGAAAGCTAGTCTTTATATAAATGATGTTTGTAGACACTCAGATGTCACCTTTCTTTAAAACAGGGAAGTCTCTGGTGCACTTATGGCTTCCCCGACGGCCATGTAAAAGATGAAGGTAAACATTTAGCCAAGAAGTTACTAATTCTCCAATGCAGACTAGGTATACAGTCTTTCCTGAGATGCTGTGAAATTTACTGTCCCAAGAATGGTCCTGGAACCAGCATTCAGTATCATCTAGGAGCCTGTTAGACATGCATATTCTCAAGCCCTACTCCCACCTAATTACAGCAAAATATCTGGGAGTGGGGCCCAGTATTTTGTACTTTAACAAGCTAAAGTTTGAGAACCACTGTTCTCATCCTTGGCTGCACAGACTAATGATGCTTGGGCTCCGTCCTCGGAGATTCTGGGGTGTGACCTGACCTCTGAAATTTTTCAAAGCTCCCTTTGTGATTCTAATATGTAACCAGGAAAGAGAACACGGCTCTATGTCATTTTCCTACTGCATCCCAGTTAGACTGTTCTTCCCTTCCCGTAAGGAGCTGGGGTAAATACACCAGTTTCCGCCAGCTGCACCCATTTTCTGTGTTCAGGAATTCAAGTGCTGCTTTCAGCTGATTGAAGCATCATTTTATGTTCCCGAGAAACAGATTCCACAATCAACTCCAACGCATCCTGGCCCTGACCCAATTTATTTCAACAAAGGAGGAGAGAGGAGGCCTTGTTCTCTGCATCCAAACAGCATTGGGAGCATATAAAGCTAGTGGCCCAGAAAGATCAAAACAGGCAGGCCTATGCACTTTTGGGAAAGAAAAATACGCAAAATCAGGGGTACTTTGCAACTTCTGCAAATAAACTTTTTTAGGGAGTGAGCTTGCTTTTATTTTTATTATGGCATTTCCTTCTCAGGCCTCAAGGTACATAGCAATGCTGTGATGAAAGAAAAACAAAAACACACATACCAGCATTCTGAAAACCGGTTCAGAAAAACAAGCAGGAGTTAAGGTAAAATGAGGGCTACGATTAATGGTGACAGTGTGTGTGTCAATAATCTTAAGTGGGTGAGTCTTTGCTAATGCAAGAACAGGGGGAAAAAAAAAAAAAAGCTAGTCTTAATACATCCTTGCCCAAGAAAATGATTACATTTGGTCACCTCCTGGTGTGGCCTGTGGCATATACTTTATGACTTTATGTTAGCAAAGCAGGAACTGGATTGGGAAACTGGAGCAGAGAGGACATCACATCACAACTTAACTCTTTCATGTCTAGATATCTAGTACACCAGTCACTCCAAGCCCCCAAGAAATGAGAGAAAGTGAAGTGCAGACCTGTGGGGTTCCCAGGGTTGATGATGCAGAGCACCTTGGGGTCACAGTGGTCTTTGGCCTCTTGCACTGCCCGCCGGAGCTCGTTCACATTCAGGGCCCAGCAGTTGTCCTCATCCAGGTAGTAGTTCACCTGGATGGCGTCAAGCTCAGAGATGACCGCTGAGTAGAGGGGATACTGTGGAATGGGGATCATCACACCCGTCCGCGACTTGCCACCCCCGGAGACGAGAATCTTCAGGATTGTCTGCAACCAAGAAGTCATGTCTAGCAGGCCGTCACTACGCCACCCCTCAGGAGCAGAGAGCAGACAGGCCAGGGGGCCCCAATCCAGTCTTTCACTACTGACCCCACTGCCTGCTTCCAGCATAACCCTTGCACATTTACTTCCCCGAGACTCAGTTTCCTTAGTTGTAAAATGAGGGCCATTGTAAGGAGTAAGCAAAATGTTTAAAGTACTTAGCACAGCATATAACAGGTAAGACTCAACACTTGTGTGTGTGTGTGTGTGTGTGTGTGTTTTAAGGGAGATTTTTTGCTATATGGCATGTGCACTTGCTGGAGAGACACAGTGAGAGAAAGCAAGAAATCATCCCCGAAAGGGGATGGCCACGCTGCGATCCCTTCTCTTTCATTCTCCTTTTGGGATTTTGGGCACATATGCATGCACACCTGGCATGAGTTTTAAGTCGCCAGGTGCAGGACTCAAACTGCAGTCGACTACATGGGAGTCCAATGCTGTAACCATTATACCATCTGCTAGTCCCAATACTTAGAATTTTCAAGACTCCTAAAACAGCAGAACCTAAACCAGTCGTGTATAAGAATTAATCTGTCCCCATCTCTGAAGTACTGATTTGATATATCTGGGTGAGATCCAGGGAATCTGTCTTATCCTTATGTATCAGTGTCCAAGGTTGGAAAGACCCCTGAACAGAGGATTGTGGAAACAGGATAAAACACCCATCTGCTGCCACCAGGTGGCGGTCTGACCCGTTTTTAAAGCTCAGAAGAAAGGCAGGTCTGTAGGATTCCTGAGAAATCAGGTCAAGGGAAGGAATCCTATGGGGTCCTGGCAGAGGTGGCAATAATTAAGAGTATTAACAAGCCAAAAGCCTCTGCAGGGTGAGTCCACTTTACACACAGGCCTAGGTCCTATTTCTGGCTCAGCCCTTGCTGCAAGAATGTCACCAGATTAAAGAGTGCAGTGACTTTTCACTGAAACTTGCAGATACCTCCCTGTCTCCTTCAGGGCCTCTGCCCATACAGGGCTTCCCTTGGAATCAAGAGGGACCTCAACAGCAGAAGACAATGAAAGAAACCAGGGTTGGGGGCTGGAGCCCAACACTGGAATCCTAAATGTCACAAGAACTGACTCAAAGTAGGGAGGCCACTAAATAAGAGTTTAATGTATTTCAAAGGCTTCAGGAAAGAAATAAAGTTCTCAAACATCAAAAACAAGAGCTGTGGAGGTCAGGAGACAAAGATACTCCCATTATGGGGCCAAAAGGTGGCATGGTGGTTAAGAGCACTGGACTCCCACATGGCTGACTGAGGTTCGAGTCCCAGACCTGGTGGCTTGCTTTCTCACTTTCTCTCTCTCTCTTGCTCTGTCCCTCTCTGATCAAATCAAAACAAATATATGAATAAATAAATAAATAGACAGCCCTATTAAAGAAGGGGTCTCCCTGAATAGAGAGAAGAAATGAGTTGGTGTTACCCAGCACCTGAGAGGAGCATGGCCAAAGAGAATGAAGGGCACAGGTTCACCAGAGCCCAGCATTTCAGATTTCTGTGGCCAAGGAAACACTGATGCCAGTCCCCCAACCCTGCCCCATACATGGCTGACCCCAGCCTGAGCCACCTCTTCTCTCACCTCCTAAATTCTCTCTACCATCTACTATACCCCCCCTCAGCCCAGCTTTAACCTTAAGAACATAAATCCAATTATGTCCCCCTTGTTTGAAACCCTTCACTAGCTCCCTACTCCACTTAGGACAATGACCCAAATCCTCAGCGTGGCCTCCAGGGCCCTGCAGCACTCTGCCACAGCATCTGCCTCCCAGGTCTGTATCTCACTGTGTGCTCGTCTACCCTGACTCTGTACCTACCCACATGAGGCCCTCTTCCAGCTCAAGGTCTCTGCACATGACCTTTAGCTCAGAAAACACTCTCTTGCCTGCCCTAGTCTCCTCCTAAGGATCCTTGGGCTTTCTGTAGGCTCACTCTTCCTCGGAGAAGCCCTCCCTGCCCCCACCTGACCAGGTTGGAGTACCTGCTACCCCATTCTCTAGCACTCTGTCCTTGTCTTCACTGCAGAGAGACGCTGAAAGGTTGTGATGTTGCCATTCTTTTGTGTGATACTAATGCTGGTCTGCTCCAGCACTCCAGGGTAGACAGAGGCCAAATGATGTGTGGTAGCCTACAGTCTCCCCAAACCTGGCACCACGCCTGGTGGAGGAAGAATACCAGGAGATGCCGAGTGACAGAATGACCACTGGACACTCTCGAATGCCCTATGTCTCTCCAGCTGGATCTGCTGGTATGCATGCTGGAGGGAAAATGAGGTTGCAGCAGTAACCAGGCCTATGATGACTAAGAGGCAAAGACTGCAGACTATCAGGGCAAGGGACCAGAGGGTGGCCAACCCCCACCCTGAGGCCTATCTCTCTACTAGACAGTTCAAATACTTGGCCCTAACACAGGAGGCTATTCTTCATGTGGGTAAAAGCTGGATAACAACAAGCAACCCTTGCACGTACAGAAATGCCATCACTCGCCCCAGTGGTCAGATAAATGTTGTCTGGGTCTGCAGGTACACCGCCATCTCTCCTGGTGATGTAGGCAGCCACATCTTCACGGATGCAGTTGACACCCTGGCTAGCACTGTAAGACCCTGCAAGACAGCAAGCAAGACAGTGACTAAGAAACGGGATATCAGTGGGAGTCAGAGGGACTGGGGGAAATTTTCAGGCGAGGTCTGACTCCCATTGCTCTGGGAACTGGAATTATGGCAAGCTGCTTACCCACCTATTTGGGGTTCATCCACCTATCCTCTTGTCCACCCAACTGCTCATCCATCCACTCATTCATCCATCCACTCATCTATTCATCCACCCAGCAGTGACCAAGCACCTACTGATGTTTTAGCATTATTTAGGCCCTGGATTCTAACCAGTCAAAGGGTTTCTATACCTGCTTTACTTATCCTGTAAGAATTTTTGCTCCAAACCACAATGATCCTCCAAGGCTCATTTTTATACCATCCGCAGGGATCTGCCCTAAAGATTTTGCCCCATTCCCACCTCTCTCCTGACTTGTCATTTCTCCAATTATTTTCTATAGAAGAAGCCTTGCTTTCTCATGCTGTTGTTGTTGTTTTGTTTTGTTTTGTTTTTGAGAGGTTTTTGCTATAGGGCATGTGTGCTAGCCAGAAAGACAGAGAAATAGAAAGTGAGAAATCGTCACTCGTGGGGGTTGCCACACCACAATCCTTTCTCCTCCATTCTCCTCTTGGGATCTTGAGTATGCATGCACACACGTCCAGCATGAGTTTAATCCACCAGGTCCGAGACATAAACTGTGGTCAACTACATGGTAGTCCAGCAGCATAGCCATTACGCCAACTGCTGGTCCCTGTTGTTGTTGTTTTATTTGTCAGAAAACATGTGCACTCACCAGAGAGATA